ATATATATATTTGAGAACGTTCTATATTTGAGAATGTATTATTTCATTTTGTATGATTCACACACAAAAAAAGACATAATTATTAGATAATGAAGTTGCATATCGGTACTTAAATATAATCTTAATATTATGCTTCTGTTTTATCCTATTCGTTAATTATTCAGATAATTGTTCTGTTCTGTTTTATTCTAGGAAGCATGGTCAAACAAATAGTCTTCATTCTTTTTGCGACCTCCATGGTTATTGCACGAATTCCGACAACAAAGGACAATACGCAAAATTTAGGGTCGATACTTTCGGACAGGAAAACCAACACACAGACTAATTTAGGAACCTGGAGCGACCAGAACCCAAATGCATTTTCTGAAACTTCTTTAAATCCTGGTGCAATTCAGTCACACTCTTCAATAATCGATGCCAACCCCTTCGCTGCGAGCCGACAAGATATGAATTCAATGTGGAGACCTGGAAGTTTAACTTCTTCCGATCCATACATTCCCCATAATGATGGCACATCGTGGTCAGGATCAAGGATATATCCCAGGCAAGATTTTTCATCAATGAATCAAAGACACCGATTTTCCGGTCGGGATAGTGATCGATTTAATTATTTTGACGGCCAATCTATGTACAACAACAATAATTTTATGGGTTCACCAAGAAACAGGGGAAGAGGCCGTTCATTTAGACGAAACAACTTCAGACGCAGAGGTCATAGAATGCATTCTTCTAGGCATCATAATACAGATACTTCCGGTTTCCAGGACTTGGATAGATGGTCAGGAAGTGGAACTATGGGAATAAGGGATCGGGTTTCTACAAGCAACCAGCTTTGGAATTCGCAGTAAACAAAATTCTGAGGACGACAAATTTATATATAAAGGGCATTATTTTGTAGTTTTTCTATTCAGAGACACTATTTTATGATTTCAGAATTAAATTATGAAGAATCGTTCCTTCAATTTCATTCTTTCAATATATTATGATTATGCTACAATTGTTGTTGACAAATGTTCAGCTGTTGTTAGTACATTTTTGATGTAATTTGTGCTTGGAAGAATTGTTACATGATCTATAGATCTCATTATAAAATGAAGACGTGAAATATGGTGCTCAAGTACATGTACAAATATCATAACGAAAAGTATAATTATTGAATATAAGACTCCAAATTTGAGAATCCCTACGTAAAATTTAACCATTTAATAAATCTTAATAATTTAATATAAAGTGTATACATTTGTGTTGTTATATATCAATTCACATAAACTCTACACATTAAAAATAGTTGCCAAAGCTGGTTACAAGAGGTATTGTAAGGCATGCTTTATGATTAACCATCAGGTTATCAAAACTGCCCCACGTATTTAATGAGGGTGGGAATCCCGAAACCCACCTCCCCCAATAACCCCTGTCTTTTTTTTCTTTTTTTTCTCTAAATATAATAGTTTGTTGCCAAAAAACCCCATAAATTTTAAAAATGTTTATGACAATTAAGCAAAAAAAGAAAGAATTTTCAAGGAGTGAAACAGTAACTGGTACATGTATAACAATGGAAACTTTTAAGGAATGAATGTAATAGCTTCATTTGTACCAAAGCTATACTCTGTAACTTGGGCTGGGATAGTTTAGGCTTTATCAACCGCGAATTCATTCCTTATATAATTAAATTTGCTATCATTAAGTGTAGAAAATAAGACAATTTCTCCTTCAAAAATGCCTCCAAATCGTACCTATTTTAAAAGTATTGTAAAGTGGATTGATAGGTAAGTCATTGTGACGTATCCAACATAGGTTATAAACTAATTATATATCCAATCAAATGACGCATTACAACCAAAATTAAATTATTCAAACAATGTTATCATTAAATGCAGCATGAATGAGAGTCAAATATCTGTGCATACCCAATTATGTCGGGAATACATTTGATGTTCTGTTCCAAAGTACCAAAAAAAAACATTTATCAGTAAATATGATTCTCTGATTTCTTTATTTTTGGAAAATAAAGTCACAAAGAGCATTTTTACCAAATAAAGATATGAATTACAGGGTCTATCTGTGTTTCAGATCTATAGTTCTTTGCATTTGGTCAGGAGGAGTACAACACATTTTTAAAGATCCAAGTTATATGATAAATATACTTCTATCCATAATCATAAATATTCTTTAATCAATAATGGTCTTTTTTGAAAAAAAATGTACTAAATTATTGTCAGTTTTATTAGACTTTGTCTCTTTTTCAATCTCATCAATCCAGCGCTGTTCTTATCTTTTCTTTGAATTGTTTAATAAAAAAAAAATTAATAATAATTAAAAAAAAAAGAAAAAAAAAGAAAAAATGTTTAAAATGCAAGTTTTGCCACCTCAACTTCACGGCAACACCAAACACGCGCGTTCTGATAAATTCAAGCTTTCGATTCTACGTTAAAGCCTTGCGTATCGAAGCCTCATTATCTTATTCAGTTAAACAATAAAATTAAGCAAGACATGATTATGTTATTTAGTTCCATTAAGCAATGTATGGTCATTTTTTTCCAGGAAGGTGACTGGTCTTCGAATTTGGTTTTGTATTTGTATGCAGATCAACTGTTTCTGCAGATCGTTACGTTGTTGCGACAGGGTCCAGATTCGTATTTGCTGTGCAATCCAAGTTAGGTTTCATTTGTATTTTATTTCAACTTCATGTAAAAATACATGAATACATGTCGTTGAATATGCGCGCCAAAATCGAAGAGTTTACGTAGTACGCTTCTAAAGTAAAATCCACAAAAAAGATGTTTTGGCAGACAAAAGGACAAACAGTACGTTCAGCCCCTGAATTCTTATGTTTGCAGCCATAAGAACGACAAAGAAAGCAGAAGAGACTAGAAACGTCGCTATTGCCTGACATTTTTAATCTTGTATGCATAACAACAATTGGTGATTATCATCTCTACAAATTTTCACAAAGATTGTCAGGGCCAGTTGCGATGACTAAAGTAATAAATAAAAAAAAAATTAAGTTGTTCTTAGAAGTCCAAGTCCGTCTAGTCATTGGTACCTATACATATGTGTATAACCTACGTGCATTAATCTAAAACATATAAATCAGACAAATGCCTGAAACAGAACAAAGTAATTCAGAGTGATTGACCTTCACAACCTAGAAAAACAAGTGCATGTTACCTTTATAGACCGGTGAATTTCTCATCTGAGAATTTAAAAAAAAAGGTCTTGCATTATCATACATGCGACCCCTATTCCATTTTACCTTCATTAATTAAAACCTAGAGCACAGATCATATATGCACGTGTATTGAAATGTGTATTTTCTTATTTCTATACATGTACTAAGATTAGATTAAATTAATTTCAATTTATCTGTTTCCTGATTTCTTTAAAAAAAATGCTTGATGTACTCTGCATCGGTATACATTCTTATATCTTTTGATTGGTACAGGGATTGAAATTTCAATTAATGAAAATTCACAAGGAAAAAAAATCATTTAACGTTATTGAATGATTGAAAGTACTTTAAAATCTCTTAATGTGTTTATTTCTTTAAGTTAGGGAACATGGAAACTCTTTGTTTCCTTTTTGAGGAACATATAAATGTAATATTAAAAAAAATGACAAATTTCGATATTATAAATTCAATTTCTTTAGGTATTTGATCCTCTTTTTTTGGGAATAAAAGCAACCATTACTTAGATAATTAACATGGCGTAATTCCAAAATAAATGACAAAGTAAGATCTTTGAATCTGTGTATGTTTTTTTTCTTTTTTCTTTTTCAGAATTAATTAAAAACTATGTTTATTTTACGTTCGATGAAAAAGTTCTCGTTAAAATTACTTAATGATGCAGTGTATCTACCATTACTTATCATTCTCAAGTTCTATGTCTTGGTTTTTTTTTCTTTTCTGCAACAACAGGTAAGTTATTTAACGATATAAAAACAAAAACTATCTGAAAATGCGTTATTTAGTTCTAATTATCACGTATTGATTAAAGACACTATTTAGATTGTAGTTTAAACACCCAAAAACTATTACAAATTACAAAAGCCTTAAATAGGACCGTAGTGCGTTACCTTTTTTTTCAAATTATAAGTATGCTAATTTGTTTTTATTTTATCTAATTATTTTACTAAAATAAAGGTTAATACGCACTAAAAGATAATATTTGCATTTTAAATAGGGTACAATGGATGAGTTTGTTTTTTTGTCATCCTAGATCTGTGTGATTCCAAGAACGTAATTAAAGAACCAATAATAAATCTTTGTCTAACAACACGTGAAGTTGTGAAACACATTTTCTAAAGTGTTAGCATGTGATGCGCCTGACAGATTATCTTCTAATTTATTTTGATTATATTATTGTTTCTGTTAAATTTGTTTTAATGATTTGGTGAATGTTGTGTACATGAACTTACATATTAATCGTATTCAGAGAAAAAAAAATAGTATGCTTGTATTGATTTCCTTTTTCATTGGATAGCCAATATCTAAAGAGCACTACATGGTGCAAAACATACATGATCTATTATAAGTAATTTTTCAATATATTTTATCATGCATTAAATTAGATTTTTACCACCAAGAAAACTGCAGGACAAATTACTTCCCCTAATGTTCTTTTCACTTGTCCGCTTGTTGAATTAAATAACTGTACATTGAAGTCTGGTTTCATAATTCAGTCATAAGCAACTGACATAAAATTTTGAAATCAGTTTAAATGTATTAATGAAAAATAAGCTACAAAAAGAAATATCGATAGATATTAATTCGGTTATAAATCTAGATTTCAGAATCAGCGACCTAATTCCATCCGAAAGGTGGGTTCCGGTTCAGAGGGCATGTAACTCTTTTATCCATCACAGAAAAAAAGGTCAATATGACATCAAACGATGGGGAAATTGGTTTCAATTAATCACAATTAATTCATTTTCCACGATGACGTACTCCAGTTTTTAGTATATAAGGAGCTGCAGGTGCGAGTTCCAAATTGTCGTTCACCTTCATCCCTTGTTGGCAAACCCAAAGGTACGTAGTATTTAAGAAAAAAAAAGAATATGTATATTTTATTTGGTTAAAATAAAATATATTTTTCCCTCAGTTTTCTTTTAACCTTTATTTTTATCTTTAATTCATAGATGTTGAAGCAGACGTTCTTCCTCGTCGCCGCAGTGGCACTAGCATCTGCACAGAGTCAGTTAGACCGAAATGACATTTATGATCCATTAAACTTAAGAGATCAAACGAGTCAGACGTCCTTTACTGATTCCTTGGACTTGAACAATCTCCGCGGCTTAGGAAGCAATCTAGGACTTTCCAGACAGTTTGACCAAAATGGGCTGTCAACATTGAATTCTCTCGATTTAGGCAATGGACTGATGAGCGGTTCAGGCTCTGAAACATTCGACCTCGGACGTATGGACCGACAAGGAATGACGTCCAGTATGTTTGATACACTTCGAGGCGATTCAAGGATGTCAAATCGAGGTTCCGATTTCGATTTGAACCGAATGGGTGATACGACCAATGGACTTTTGAGAGGTAACAGATTTTTAGATTCCTCCCTGAGATCAACTGGTTTAACTGATGGTAACAATGGTGGGTTTATGCTAGACTTTAACCGAGGATTGCCAACGACTTTGGACAATAACCTTATGGACCAAAATTTGTTGTCTTCACAGAGAGATAACATGGATTTCTCTGGATCTGATTCCCAAAGCTCGTCTTTTTTGGACTCACTGAGAAGACCACCTTATTTCTCAAGAGGGATGGGATCATATAACCTCAACAGGAGGTTTCAAAATGGGGAGGGCAGATTGTTCAATGATCTGACAGGTTTCCCACGTCGCAGCTCAGAAGGAGACAGCATGTCAAACAACTTCATGGATAGCTTTGACTCTACAAACTCATTCCCCGGAAGAGGTATGTCAATGGGAAGATCAATGTCTAGAATGCGTGACATGGGTATGATGAGGTCATTGGGTAGGAGTCGAGGTCAAGGACGACGACTTGGTAGAATGATGGGCAGACGCCTCGGAAGAAGATTCCGGAGCTATTTACCTGGATTCGATTCTACTAACACCGGATCGTCGAGAACTATGTCGCTTATGCCACGCAGCAATAGGATGGACGATACATTCACATCAAGAACCGGAAGAACCTCAAGTTTGTTTTAATTGAACAAAAGATAATGTAAATAAAGGTATATAGATTCTTGCATTTTTTTTCTATTTTTATTCATTCCTAGATCACATAGTGACCTTACATTTTTCGATATCTTTTGATTTACGTATTTAAAAGTAAAAAACACTCGCTGAAGAAGGATTAAATTTTTGTTGCACTCTGTTTATTGCAGATGAAAAATTTTCAATATGATTGCATATCAGTAAAACAGCAATATACAAATATTCATTTACACGAAGAGAGAGAGGGAGAGAGAATACGCAATGAAAAGGTGAATATAACGAACCGAGGGCGATTCTGCAAATCATTATCCTTGCATAAAATGCTATGTAATATTTCCAAACGTCATTATATTTCAATACACAAAGGTTGTTCTTTTAAATCGTTGACAAGTTGGCAATAGTAAAAATAACCAACACTACAATCTGCAGCAATATTTCATCCCTTGGAGGGTAACATAATCAAAGTTTCCGTCAACTCCAGTCAATAATTGTTTTGTTATATGAAAAAAACAATAAAATAGTATCAATAAACCAATCTACTTATCAGAATCAAAATCAATAGTATTGTCTGAAAAACTCCCTTTGACGGTCAATAGTTAAAATTAAATAACCGTCAATATTTTTCGGAGTAGCAAATATCAATTATGAACACTGTGTCTCTATATAGAGAACATAGGGGTCATTCTTTATTGAATATAATAATAAAAAATAATCAGCACTGTGTTCTGAAATTTTCACTAATTGTTAGCACTTTATTCTCGTATATACCTATCAAATTTCCCGTAAATATATGCCCAAATGTGCAAATAAAAGTATTTTATTTCATTAATTGTATTAAATTACCGTGCAGATTATGCCGTCAAAATGTCATTTTCAATCTTATGTTTTATTTTCTTTGGTAATTTATAAAAATAAGTTAGGTCAGCCTGCACTAAAACAGATTTTTAATGCGAGAGACGTTCTAATGCTTTGAATAATCTATCGCTGTACGCTTGCCATATAAAACCAACAGACATTCTCACAAACAGTTCTCTGATTGTCTGCTTTAATGCCGTCTATCATTACTGCCAATAGCCGTTGATTCATATACATGTATATTTTGAAATCACATGGGGCTTTAAGTCAAAACTTTAGCTTTAAAGATGCCAGTGTTATCTTTATATTTCAAGATCAAGTGGCATTTTTATATTGTTGGTCTTTTGTTGTGAAAAGTCTGAAGAGTTGTCAGCCGTAAATCTACATAGAATTGAAATGCTTTTCTGTGTGCCGTATCGTCATCAACTGTGGCTATTGTTCGTCTATTGTGTTCACCACTATTTCATTTCAAAAACTCGGGAAACTTTAAAAAGAAAAAAAAAAATAGGCGAATACCTTCAACGTCTCAAATGATGACAAGTAGATTCATATCTAGTATTCGTACTGAAACCTGATTTATTTTATGCTTTTATTTAAAAAAAAAATCGGCTTTTAGTACCATATACTGCACTCCTTCAAGTTATATTAAAATAAAACGATGTTGGTGTCTATATCTTGTCAAAATTATGTAATACTCAAATATGATAGATAAAGGGTAGTTTTAAAATTTATGCTCAGAGGACGGATTATCTTCAGTTAAAAAGCTTTGTCTACGATTGTATCATCTAGAACCAGAAAGGGATATAAGGTTTGCTTTCACCCAGTATAAATGAGGGAAACCAAATAATGAAAGAAAACACTTCAGGTTTCAAAAAGCTTTTTAAAAGGCATTTTTATACGAGTGTTTTTCCATAAATAAGTTCAATGGTTCTGTGTAACCGACCTTTCTTACCTGATAAAATACCTGGGTTAAAAATGTTTTAAGTTCCAGAAATTGCTCTTTTATCAATTTTAATTTCTTAAAGTTGACACACTGCATATGGAATTACGAATTAACTAAGAAGGACTTCATTTCCCTGTATACAAATAATGAAATGATACACTCGATAAACAAAATTTAGGTAAAGGTTCAATATTCCTTGATATTCAATGTGTCCGTTTTCAAACCAATTAAAATGGGAGAGATCAATTACAGCCAAAGTTTTGACTTTTAAGAAATTAAACAATATTCGAATTTTCACAAATAATAAAGAAAAATATATTTATACTATTTTCCCTAATTTAAGAAAGAATTCCATTAATTCAAAAAACAAATTATTAAATCGAAAAAGATATTCCGAAAAGAACTTCGTTATATGTACTTATATGAACATAGAAGCATCTTTGTCAAATGATCGGAAGATAGTTTGATCAACCTCCGGCTGACCTAGGTCGATAGAGAATACGTAGCGATTTTCCCTACTCTATAGCGCTAGACACTTTGAAGTGGAAGTAGTGGGTTTATCGAATGAGACCTTAAAAATCTGGGCCCCGTCTCATTACAGGCGTTGGCACGACAAAAATCTTTCACTGCTAAATAGACCTGAGTGCCGGGTGAAGGTCTACATTTCAAGCCCTTCGCCGTCTCTATATGAGTGAAAAATTCTCGAATGGTACGTAAAACAACGTACAAACAATCGAAGTTAAGACGAATGTTTGGATAAAAATATTTTCAGGTATTATGCACAAAGTAAAGATATGCGACTGCTACTTAAAATTAGCTCAAATACGTATCTTTAATTTTTTCTAAATACGATGGAACAGAATATTTGATTTCTGAAAGATATAAATATTTCCAGTTCGATCGTTAATATATTATATATAATGTGCGCTGCCTTAACAATGCTTAGCTTGGACGAGATATAAATTTCAAAATCTTTAAAAGTAATCTGTTAAATATTGAAAATACTTTTTTTCTTTATATCTTTATAACTAATGCACGTAAACCATTGTTTGACTTGAACATTAAAAGAAGATTTATATTTGGAGTATTACAAAGTTGAGGTAGGCCAAAATATATTTTTTTAATATTATGCATTCATACAGAGAAGATTAATCTGATTTGTCGAGAACAAAATCTTTATAATAGCTCTATTACAATCTGAATAATGCAACCAGCCCCCCCCCCCCCCCCCCCGCATAGTAACAGTCAGTATTGATTGATTGGTTGATTGACTGTATCTTGTTTAACGTCCCTCTCGAGAATTTTTCACTCATATGGAGACGCCACCACTGCCGGTGGAGAGCTGCAAATTTCGTCCTACACTCGGCACTTACGGCCATTGAGCAGTGAGAGATCTTTTTCGTGCCAGCACCTTCTGCGATACGGGACCTCGGTTTGTACGGTCTCCTCCGAAGAACCGGTCTCCACGTCCCACAGTGGGATTCGAACCCGCGACGTAAGGATCAACTCCTTACTTCGCGACTCTAGAGCGAACGCTCTAACCACTGCACCACGCGGGCGACCAGTGTTGCTTGAAGACGTGTTATAAAAAGAATGCTGACTACACAAAATTGATGCAGTAAGATTTAATTGTGTAAAAATTTTCGTATAATATTTTAAATATTGCATATAGTTCATGGTAAAAATGAAACTCTTCACCCTCAAAATCTTTTGTCAATCTCGTCTGTTCTTCGATTGACAATGGTTTTTGGAGTGATTTTTTTTCAATGTTACCCTAACTACACGCAAATTTACACCATATTAGAGTTTTAAATGTGATTCCTAATCGGTTGAAAATATCTTGCAATTTTATAAAATAAGTAAAACTTAAGCCAGTGATTTAAATCTTAGGATATGGATCAAAATATGCAAATTTTCTGGCTAAAAATAGCTAGTTTTTTTTTATGACTTGTTTTATATTTTTTCAAATTTTGGCAAAAAGTTTATAATAGAAATATTTTTTTTTAAAAATTCACTTGAGAACGACACAAATTTTTCCTAGCAGTATAATGATGTAAAAATGTCTCCATGATGGATTGATAGTACATGTACTTAGTATATTGTTTGAAGTCCCATTCGAGAACATTTCTCTCAAATAGAGACGTCACCACATCCAGTATAGGGCTTCAAATTTAGACCTATACTCGGAACTCAGAGCCATTGAGCAGTGAGGGTTCTTTATCGAGCCAACGCCTACCGTTACGAGGAACCTCGGTTTTTATAGGTCTCATCTGAAAGACCCGCAACTTTCGATTCCCGTGCTGAGCTCTTAGCGAAGGAACAATCACTACTTATATTTACTTATATTTATATTTGACCTGGTACGGCAAACGATATCAAACCCAATTTAAGCCTCCCGATCACGATGCGAATGCTCTACCACTAGGCTACCATGAAAAAGTTTCAATATATTTAATATTACATATGCGTAGATTTTGATAATTTTCTTCTTATTCAAAATATACTTCTGCCACCTTAATTTGTCTTATAAATCTAATCTCTGTTCAATTCTGTGGGTGTTTTTATTAAATTAAACGTCGTATAGTTAGCACTGTTTAATTAAAATGTGTAAAAATTATTTTGATATTAGAAAATCTTATTAAAATATTTTCAAAATTTAAAGAATGGTATACATGTACCTTTATGTGCAAAGAAATGCAGTATCTCTGGGAAAAAAAAAAAAAAAAACAAAAAAAAAAACAAAGTTCATCTTGAAATCGATCCGGTCATACCTTTACTTCAATTCATAATGGCTTTTTGGGGTCTGTGCAGACTTAATCTTAAAAAAAAATTTCATGATTTGGAGGCCAGGGTTCGACTCTCGTTCTCCACGCTGAATACCTAACCAGATGTATTGATCATTAGAAGTGAGATTCATGTATCTTTGATGAAATCTTTAAAATCTCTGTCCTGTGTCACAGTTGGCCAATGCACAGTAAGAACTTTCAAATTTTAATTGCCCTGAGTGCCCAGTATAGATCTACATTGAAATAACACCGATGGTTAAAGATTCTCAAATACAAGGTAAAACAATTCACAATCAATCAATCAGAAAGAAAAATGGTAGCTTTCGATGACTTCAGGTCTCATATAGTGAATTATAGGATCCACCAGCTATGAATAGCTCTAGATTTTTCTAGATTCATTTGAATTCTATTCATAACATTGACATGTTACTTGGTCCATAGTTACGCTCTCTCCCCACCTACACCAATCCATCAGACGGGAATCACCTGAAAAAAAGGTTTAATGATCTTATATTTCACAATGTGTATGATATCACCTGGCACCATTGAAGTATACATAGATATGTTATCCCCAAATAAAAAAGATATCAAAGTGACGTAACGTCTGAAGTTTTGATGAAGTTATAGGCTTTAGAGTGTGAATAATCGGATCTAAATATAGAAAAATACATAAAGACAGATAAACGGAAAATATCATACAATAAATCAGCTGCTAATAAAGGATCATAATATTTTTTTTAATTAATTACAAATTGCATAACAATTTCCAGAAATGTTAACATTTCTGTTAACATGTGATGACTTATACATCAGTTTATCCAATCCTACCACTTTTGAGTATGAAAATTTCACAGAATTGTAAATTACTGAACTTCGTGATGACAGTATTCATTGCAACTTTTTATCTTAAATGGAAAACTCATTATCGGATCGGAGAAATATTTTTATAAACTTAATTGAATTTATTTCCATATTCAATGTTAAATTTTTTAAATGATACTTTACATTGTGTACTAATTGATGCCCTGATACAATTTTATATTGATACAAATATTTAATTATTCCAATAATTTTATTTTTTTTATACAAAATTTCTAATGAGGAAATATTCTGGGTCTACCTCATTTTGTTTTGTTTTTGTTTTTTTTTTTTTGGGGGGGGGAGTAGTTGATTTTTTTTTCTTATAGAAATATGTATTTTATTTTGCCAAAGTTATTGTAATTTTGATTGTTTTTTTTTTATATATTCCATTAAGATTGACGTCGACCGTACATAAAACCTTTAAACTGTTCATCTTGGTGTAATGGGTAATCCCCTCCTTACAGTTTCACAGTAAGCTTAGAATCAAATGCCATGTACATGCAACAAAAATAATTTCCAACTTCATTATATTGCTTTTAGTATCAGACGTACAAAGCATCACTTAATATCGAATGCAATATTTAAAGTATTTCTAAATGACATGTTATTCAATAAAACGATTATTTTGTAAATTGTTCAAATAATAAAATCATTAACATTTTCAAAACCAAAGACTAGATATTATGGTTAACCAGTAAGTAGAATTAGGGACAATTGATATAAATGAAGTAGGAAAATGCCAATAAGGTTAGTAAAAAAAGAATGAATAATTATTACATATATCGCAAAGTATTACTTATAACATTTTTTTACGCATGCCATGGACTGTCTTTCTTTTTTCAAACTAAAAATCCATTGTTCCTTCTTAGTCACAGAATCGAAACACCTTTCAAAAAACTTTTTTTCTCAGTTTCTTTTTTTCTAAAGCAAGCTTCGCTTTTCAGATTGTTCATACAAGAATGCTGAAGTTACTGTAGCTAGTATAAAAAATGATAGTGTAAACGCATAGTTTCATCTAAACGGAGGAAATTGACTGCGAGGGTTTCATAAAATGCTAAATTGAGACCCATACGAATGGGTTTTTGTTAACCTTTCCCAAGTCTTTTCGACAAAAAGTTAGTCCAAGTTGAAAGTACACCAAATGCCAGTTGAAGGCTTCACATTAAGACCTGTTTAACATATGTATACCAATTGAGCAGTAAATGATATTTTTGTGCATTTTATACTAGGAGAAAGAGACCGCAGTTTCTATGGCCTGTAATTGGATTGAAACTGCAAGGAAAGTCACCTTATAATTACTCTGCATTTTTTGGGCGAAGAGAGGCCTTTGTTCCAAAATATCAGCCACGCTGAAGACATAATCCACGCTGAAGTAACATGCATCTTACAGTTCCAGTTTTCTGCGAAAAAAAGATAAAATATATGGCTTAGGTCATAAATCTTCATCTGTAAAACATCACCACTATAACTTCCTGTGTATGATACACGGTTCAGGCCCACCACCATTCATTTTATCCTTAGTAGTGCGAAAATTGATTTAACATCATACTCAGAGGTAGCCGAATTCCATCTATTATCATCAGATTTAATTAATTGTCTAACAAAATGATGCATGATTTTCGAGAGAGTATAAGTAGTGACATAACAGTATTTTCTCCCGTCATCCGCCACCAAAGGTTGAAGGGAAGACGAAAGGTAGGTTGAAAAGTGATTGAATCCCCATTAAAAATCTTTCTTATATGCTGATTGTCTTAAATTTTAGATCATAAATTTTAAATCTATACTTTTTTAGTTAAGTATTCATTATTTTTTGAAAATATATAAAAAATTGATGAATTGGAAACTACCTAATGTATTTTCAAACAAGTATACATTAATCCTAAGGAGACTTCCCTGTTCCATTTAACTTTTTTATTCAAAGTTATCTATTTTTGAATAAAATAAAATATTATATATCACAATAAAGGATATATTCTTCTTCATCAATCTCTTTTTAATTTGGTTCATAAAAGATGAAATTAGTAAAACATGTATTTCAACATACGCAATTTGTAATATACATCTGTATCCTTTGCTGGAAACAACTTACATTTTCTAAATTCAGGAATCATGTTTGTCCAAGCGTATCTTCTTGCCGGGGCAGTGATTTTAGTATCTGCACAGCAACAAGGGTCATTGGACAGAACAAGAAATGACTTATTTGACTCCACGGGTGTATCGATCGGAAGCGGGAGTGATGTGTTGGATCCATACAGAAGGTCAGATAGAGACATCGGGATGCCATACTCTGATCCATACATGACCAATCGTCGTGGTTTGGAAAATAGACAAGGAATTACCGGACAACTTGACAGACCTCTATTGTCCAGATTGGACGGACTTAATGGTTTGCTTGGAAGAAATCAAATGACAAGATTCGACCCTTACAACCTGGGTGATGGGATGATGACAACTTCTGATTCTCGAACATTTGGATTCGATAGGGATGGCATGGACAGACAAAGAATGTTTTCAGGTGGATCTCGTAGAAACCTAGGCAATTCAAGAATCCCACGTTATGATCCGGATGTATTTGATCGAAACCAAAGAGATGGCATGGCCGATAGGTTTCTAAGAGGGAACCGTCTTTCTGATTCATCTGGACAACTAACTGGTTCAACAACTGATAATGGTGACTTTCTGTCAGAGTTCCTTCGTGGAAGACCATTTCGTGGCGACAGTTCTCTTTTGGACTTAAATGTATTGTCATCAGAGACAAACCTTAATGATCTTCGTGGATCGCGTTCTCGAAGGCCCTCTGGATTGCTTTCTCAAACAACATCTTCCTTGCTTCCTGGTATGATAACTGAAAACCTTCCTTTAGATCTGCTCAGAGGTGACAGTCTTCTAGACCTTAATTTACTGTCAAGAAAAACAAACATAAATGACTTTGGTAGACCTCGTCCTCGAATGCCTCCTCAAACAATGTCATCTATGGGTTCGGATAGGCGCTCTTTAAACAGCTTTGATGACAGATTTCAAAATAACAGAAACCGGTTTATGGATGGTCTGACTGGTTTTCCACGCAGAAGGGAGGATGGAATTCGAAGATCAACACAATTCATGAATTCAATGAATATGCCTAGAAGAGGATTCGATATGATGAGATCAATGCCTCGCATGGGAAACAACATGGACATGATGAGATCATCAGGGATGAGACAGAATCGGGGACGTTTCACAGATCAGATGAGAGGAAGAAACACGGATGGAATGATGCAGAACAATGGTCCTAGATTCCAATCTACAGGTACCCAAGACAGAACTATGACTCAAAGACCAGCTGACAATAACCAGATGGATGGCACTATGACATCAGGCACAGAAACTGGAGGAATTCTTAATGTGATTTAGATCAGATATTCTTTTAATAAATTTTAAAAACTCTCAGCATGTCTCCTTTTTTGAAAATTTTCCTAATGTTAACGTTTTGAAGGTTATATGACTTTAATGGACAAATTCCCATTTACGACAGGAAAAACTACATGTAGTTCAATTGCTTCATTAAAAAATTGAAGTATAAAGGTGTTCCTGTGATATTCAAAGTAAGTTTTTTTGTTACTTAAATTTAAAGACCCACTCCTTTTTATTACAAAAAGCCCTCAGTTCAACTAGAACTTAATTAGTTTACTCTTTATTGATTCTATTGCGATTAAGAGCAAAAGAAGCATCTTAGTTTGAAACATATTTTAACGATATAAACGATTATAAACAAGAAAAAAACAGATTTTTTATCAATAAATTACTTTTCTCGGATGTTTTTCTACATGCATCAAGTAGTATTGTCCATCAAAAATTATTACATTACAAAAAGTAAAATACCATTACTTGTCCAATGAATAAATATTACAACTGTGAAAGATTTATTTATGTCTGAATGACATATTTCGCTGTGAAAATATCAAAAGCACGGTGAAACTCTTTATTTTCATACCCTTTACGAAGAGTGTTTTGAAGATAAAAAGTAAACAGGAGTTAATTTACCGTAGTATAATAAAAGGCATATCCACTGGCTTTGGGTATGATATAGCTCTTTCATCGAACATTCGACAGGTTTTACAAAAGAGCTATCCCACTTACAGCCATTGGATAAGTGTAACTCCACATTCTGCGACTATAGTATAGAAAACAACCGCTTTAAGAATCATGAGCAATAAGAGAGAGAGAGAGAGAAAAAGAAAGAGAGCATGCGCACTGTTTATTAATCTGGTTCATGAGTGTAATGACCAGACCGCCCAACCCAAAAATAAATAATTTCAAAAACAAAGCATTTACAAAACAATACATACATCATAACTTCTTGGCTGATTTCAATTTGATAGCTAAAGAATTTTCAACACATTTTAAAATCAAGTCTGGTGCAATTTTTAAAACATTTATCCCAGTGGTCTTATCCCAGTGTAGAAAATCTAAGATTGATTTTTCAAGGAAATCTTAAATGGCATTATTTATGACCGTGAAAATACATTTAATATTATTGTAATTGCTTAACTAAATAATAACCTTCAAGTAAAAAAAAGAATTTGAAAAATAACAAAAAAGTAATCGGCGTAGAAAATCTGCAAATGTTACCAAGATTTTATTTATATGGATACCATAAAGAGTATGTGAAAGAAATCCTTTCCTTCACCCCACCCCACCCCCCATCCCCCACTTCCACTAAAAAAACATAACAAAGTACCATTTTACATAAAAATTATATATACTACTTCTACTTACAAAATTTTGTAATAGATTATAGATGTTCCAAAAGAAATAAAATAGTGCTTACATGTAAAACTGGAATATATTTCCAATTGTTTCTACGAATGTGTAGTTGCAAAAAGCACATGGATATGAAAATCTGCCATATGTACAATGCATACATTTGTATGCCATTAAATGTTCATTGTCAATTTAAACATGTTTAATACCTTTGAGGAAAAAGTGGTTGTGCATCAAACTACATGTATATATGCAAATTGAAAAAGAACATATACAATGTATGCACTAAAATTTATGGAAGGGAATTACCGCCAAAAGTCTATTTATCTTGCTTTTATTCTTATTCTGTCTACTTCTTTATTCTTTGTTATTATTGTAACTACATGTCACTTTATTGTTTTCATATTCGTCTTTATTACATTTCACTTTGAACTTTTTTCATTCTTCATTTTGTCCTTACTTCTATGTTGCTTTATTCTTGTAAATTATTTCTTCTTTCTTTTAAATTGATACAGTTTCTTTAATAAATAATTATGATCATCTCTATTACAAATGCAAATTCAGTCACGCAAACCATGAAGCGCATTCAACGAAGACGGATACAAGTAGTGTGAATTTAATGCGGCATTATAACGCTAGATGGCAGGGTGTTCGCTGCGAGTGTTGGTAAAATTAGGTACGCAAACCCGGGCCGAGGTTATTCGAGATTTTTCAAATTTCTGCCTTAATACTTTATCAATCGAACCCAAATTTTCAAGTTATGTCAGTTATAGGTTTATTTGTAAACGCGGTAAAATTGCCCCGAAATGCTCAATATTTTAGATTTTCTCGAAGAAAATTATTTGATTTCCAAGTTTTTGGAAGGAGTATCAAGCTGACATTTTTAGTGGGGTTTTTTGGACAAAAAAACTAATAATTTTTTATAAGAAAATCTGGGTCCTTAAAACCGGACCAATGATGAAAACTCCAAAATAATTGTGTATTTTCTGTCACCTGAAAAATATATGTAACTCTATTCAAGTTACATGTATTTGTTGAATGATTGAATTTCAGTTTTATTGATATAAAAAAATATTAAATATTTTGATAATTACTAGTATACCTTTATAAATTGAGTAGTTTTTCAGGACCCCTATGATATATATATTCTTCCACTGAATTGACATTTCTTTATTTCAGGATAATAACTGTTCATGCGCAGTCGCTTGATTCTGGGGACCGCGGGGCTAGTCTGGTTTCGGCCAACCCATAATGCTCTGCAAAGTAGTGCGGAACGTCATGGGTAGGCGTGGCCATAACCAGGCTTGACCGGGGCATACTAGAAACTTCCACCGGTTTTTATAAAAATATGTATTAATTTTTTGTATAGAAATAGCACTTTTCAATAAAGAAATAAATATCTCTAGTAAGCACACAGTGTTTGACATAAGAATAACTCAAAAATTATTTTGTCAATGTCTCGTTTGGCAAAAAATACGTAAAATGTCGGCTTGATATTGCCTACCCATCTTAGCAAATAGGAAATCAAAAATCGCCAAAAATAATCTAAAATATTGAGATTTTCAAAATATAAATACATGAATATAAATATTGGCAATTTTTACAGCGAATACAGATAAAACTTAGAGACGAAGCATTGTTTTTGAAAGGAGCAGCCAGAGAAAAAAAAATAACTTACCTAAAAATCTTAACAAGCAAAAAATAAACAAACAACCAAACAAACCAAACAAACAAACAAACCAAAACAAACAAACAAACAAAATAGAGAAAAATTCTTCAAACTCGAATATTCTGTTTTGGGGGAGGGGGTCCAACTTCTTTCAGTACCAAGTTACTCATACGTCACTACGTACATGGCCCTTATCTGACTTAACTACAACAAAAAGTGGGAGGGGGTCAACCAGACTTTCATTGAATATTTTCAGTAGTAAAAAGTTATGGCTAGTAGAATGTTTGGTGGCCAGTCCCCCCCCCCTTACCCTTGTCATATAGTGAGACTTACCCCATAGTGAGTCTTCCCAACGGAAGTCTGGCTATATAGTGAGACTTCCCTATCGGGGGGGGGGGGGGGGGGGTGACTATATAGTGAGCCTTCCGCCCTAAACGACCATAGTGAGACTTCCCCTTCCGTGTTTGGTCAGTTTCGATTTTATTTACTTCGACGATGTATATATTGCATATTTAGGTAATGATCTTATATATAAAAAAAAAGATGAATAGTTTCAAATGAATCAATATAAAAGTGCGCATTAAAAATTTATCGTGCACAGCAGATTATAGTATTGTTCCGAGGCGATTCTTATCAAAAGAAAAAAGACATAATTAGTTTAACAGTAAAGAGGTCATTACCCGTAGAAACGTGCAGTTTACCTATGTTTACCTGCATGGTTAAGAAGTTTTAATTATAAAAATCACTATTAAAATGTTTTAATTATTTATTCATATATTTATTTATTCATTCATATAGGACGGATAACTTTTATCCAAACACTGAAAACGTAAGTATAAAAACATTGTTTTACAATTAAAAAAAAATATTCGGAAACTAAATTAAAGGAGGAAGATTCACTATGAAGGGGGAAGACTTTCCCCTGGAGAAGTACGTCTCACTATATAGCTAGTCTTCCGGGGGAAGTCGTACCATCTAGGCAGCCTTCAGGAGGAACGACACCGGGTACATGTCTGAACCTATAACATACATATTTGAAAATTTGGGTTCGATTGATAAAGTATTAAGGCAGAAATTTGAAAAATCTCGAATAACCTCGGCCCGGGTTTGCGTACCTAATTTTACCAACACTCGCAGCGAACACCCTGCCATCTAGCGTTATAATGCCGCATTAAATTCACACTACTTGTATCCGTCTTCGTTGAATGCGCTTCATGGTTTGCGTGACTGAATTTACATTTGTAATAGAGATGATCATAATTATTTATTAAAGAAACTGTATCAATTTAAAAGAAAGAAGAAATAATTTACGAGAATAAAGCAACATAGAAGTAAGGACAAAATGAAGAATGAAAAAAGTTCAAAGTGAAATGTAATAAAGACGAATATGAAAACAATAAAGTGACATATAGTTACAATAATTACAAAGAATAAAGAAGTAGGAAGAATAAGAATAAAAGCAAGATAAATAGACTTTTGGCGGTAATTTCCTTCCATAAAAATTACTGATGTCAATTATATCCTTTGCCTTGGGTTCTATGCCTGCGAAAAAAAAAACAATTCAATATTACCGTAAAGAAATTCACGACGTTATTATTCATAAATGTCAATATGGAATAGCGTATTTTTATAAAAATGTACTTTTCGTATTTATTTCTTCCCGAGGAAGTCGCGCGAAATTTTGTTATTGCTAGACATACAAATGTAATTTTGTCCCAGCATTTTTCAGAATTTATAATCAGCAACACTAGCTGAGCATTTTTAAATCAATTTTCAAAATTGTCACTGTTGTAATGGAAACTAATAAAACGTGACAAAGTATGTCCGCAATTGATCTCCATGATGGTTTGGGGAATCTAAGTGCTTGTTTAGAGAAATGAAAATCATCAGCTTTAGAAGTGCGATTTCAGATTTTAAAAAAAAAAAAAAAAAAAAAAAAAAACGAGACTGTAAACAGGTTTTTTTTTTTTTTTTTTTTTTTTTTTTTTTTTTTTTTTTTTGCAAATGACTGCTAAAC